GCCAGCACTGACCACTCGGGCCCCGGGCAGGGGTGCCAGGCAGGGATGGGGCCCCTCCCCAGGGGATGCAGACTTCTGTCCAACCTTAGACGGGCTTGGAGGGGGGTGGGGGGAGATGCATCCCCTCTGGAACCTGGGGGAAGTTATCAATGACAGGAGGGTCTGGGGCTGCACAGGTTGCCTCCTCTCCTTCCCGCCTGGAGTAGGGAGCCTCCCCCTTCTCACATCTCCTGGGAAAAGGAGGAGGCCTTTGCCAGAATTTTCTCTGATCTTCAGCCTAAACCAGTGGCCAGCAAACTGCGGCTCGTGAGCCACATGCGGCTCTTTGGCCCCTTGAGAGTGGCTCTTCCACAAAATACCGACTTCTGCGCATGGGCCACGAAATTTCGATCTCACTGTACGTGCGCGCCCGCACGTGGTATTTTGTGGAAGAGCCACACTCAAGGGGCCAAAGAGACGCATGTGGCTCACGAGCCACGGTTTGCTGACCACGGGCTAAACCCTAAATGACCCCCAAGCCTGGGAGTCCCCAACCCGTGCTCCGGACCCAGAGAAGGCCCCGGCCCCTGTGATCCTGATCGGCGGGGGAGACAGAGGCCAGGAGGGGCAGGAAGGGCGATCCCTTGTTCGCACCTGTTCCCCCATCAGCATAGGTGTCCTGTGACATGGGCCCCTGTGAGTGGGCGGCCGTGGGGCTGGCGGTGAAGACCCCTCCCCTGCAGTGCTGACCCAGCTATTTGCCTGCCAGGGCTGCAGCGGGGACCAGCGTGAGATGGCGCGGAGGGTGGTCACCGTCATCTCTGAGGACGAGGAGGACAAGGAAACAGTGCTGGAGGGTCAGGAGCCTCCCCACTTCTGGGAGGCCCTGGGAGGCCGGGCCCCCTACCCCAGCAACAAGAGGTGACAGGGTGGGGAGGAGGTAGTTCTTACAGAGGATGAATCTGAGGCCCAAAGCGGGTGGGCTAGTTAAGGGTCACACATGGAGCTGGAGGAGCCAGACTAGAACTGGGGACTCTTGGCTCCCCACCCCAGGGGGTCCCAAGAACACAGCCCCCTCCTGCTTCTCTGCCCAGCCCTGGGAAACTTGCATCTGGAAGATGCAGGGCAGGCGGGGCAGTGGTGCCCTCTGCTGGTTGAATGTGCTCCCTGCATGGTCCCAGTCCTGGACCAGAGGCAGAAGCCATTCCCCAACCCCAGAGTCCCCAGGAGGGTGTGTGTGTGTGTGTGTGTGTGTGTGTGTGTGTGTGTGTGTGTGTGTGTGTGTGTGTGTAGTGTGCAAGGACAGTGTACATGCGTGGTGTGTAAGTGCACAAGGTCAGGGAGGAGGGAGCTGAATCCTGGGCCCTTTGTATTGTCTGCAGGACCCGGTTTATGCCCCTCACTCCCCCAAGTCTCCTGAGCTCCTAAGTGGCACTGTCCCCCTCTCTCAGCCTAACTTCCCTCCTCGCGCCTTGGGCCTGAGGCTGATCCCAGCCAGGGGCGGGACCAGGGGCTCCTCTCTGCCAAAGACAGCAGGGCTCCGGCTCAGGCCACCCCACGCAGCCAGCGTCCCTTTCGGGTGCCCACTCCTGGGAAACTGCATGGCACAGCTGTGCCACAGCTGGCTGGAGCTAGAGAAATCACCCAATCTGCTTTCCCCACTGACAGACTGGGACACGAGGCCCAGAGAGGAGCAGGGCGGGTGGACTCAGGGGAGGGCCAGCCCCTGGGTAGGAGCCCCTGGGCTGAAGGCTAGCTCGGCCCAGGCCGTACCCCTCACAGCCTTGTGCCCACACCGGCCAGCCTCCCCGAGGACGTCTCCGGCTTCCAGCCCCGGCTATTTGAGTGCTCCAGCCAGCATGACCACCTGGTCCTCATGGAAGTGGTGTTCTTCAGCCAGGAGGACCTGGACAAGTACGATGTCATGTTACTAGACGCCTGGCAAGAGGTGAGGCAGCCTCCGCTGGCCTACGGAGGTGTGTCGTATCTGTGTAACTGGGTGTGAGTGTGTCTGTGTGTGTTCCTCACCATAGGAATACACGTAAGGCGGCAGGTGAGTCTGTGCAACTGTGACACTGAGTGTGCGACTGTGTGACCAAGGGGGTGAGACCATGGGTGTCACAGCCAGCCTTTGGGAGACCATGACTGTGATCTGGAATGTGTGTGCGATTGTGTCTGGCTTTGTCGTTCTGTGTAACTCCCTCTGCCTTCAAATGGTATGTGGCTCCAGGTGACGGCCTGGGGCTGATATGTGTCCATGTCAAGTGAGCAACTGTCAGTTAATTGAATGACTGACCATGTGTGGTGTGAGATGCATTTGCCTCTGGGTATATGGCTGTGTGGAATGGCTACGTGGTGGTTACTGCCTGTAACTGGCCAGACCAGCCACAGCTGAGATGATGTGTGTATGAGACTGGCGGGCTGTGGGTGTGACCGAGTGACTGTATTTGGGTGGCTGGGTAATTTCTGTGTGGCTATATGCAATCGTGTTTTGGGCTACCTGTGTTTTTCAGGCTGGATGTGTGCGCCTGTGTCATTGAGTGCGATTGTTTTTATGCGCAACTGGGTGTGACTATGGGTGACAGTGGATGGCCGTCTGACGGTGGTGATGGATAATTGTGTCTGTGTAGCTGTGATCCTGTGTGTGTGTCGGCCACGGTCTATGACACTCTGTGAGTGTGATGAGGCTTGTAGACCTCCATGTCACTCGGAGCAAAACCGAAGCCCCTGCTACAGCCCTGTTTGGCCACACACACACACACACACACACACACACAAACAAACCACGTGCCTACCCCACTTCGGCAGCGGTAGCCTCTGGGCTGCTCCTCAGAGATGCCGGGCAGGCTCAGGCCTTCGCACTGGTCGTTTCTTCTGCTTACACTTTCTCCCCAGATATACACATGACTTGTTCCCTCACCGTGGGATCTTGATTCAAATGTCATCTTCTCAGGGAGGCTCCCCCTGACTTTAATTCAAAGTTACATTCTGTCCACCATCACCACACTTGCATTCGTTCCCTGCCTTATTTTCCTCCATCTGCTATATGACATGTTTTTCTGTCTCCCCCAGTAGAATGAAAGCTCTGGCAAGGGCAAGGATTTTTGTCTGTTTTTCTCTCACTATTGACTCCCCTGGCCCACCACAGGTACCCAGTGAATATGTGTGGATTGAATGCATGTAGACACATATGCTTGTGACCTTCTGGAGTGTGTATGGGTGTGTGGGCCTGGCAGCCAGCCTGCTGTGTGTCTGGTATGTGCTTTGGGGGCTCTCAGACCACCTGACGGGCGGGGTGGGAAGGATGCAGTCAGCTCTGGCAGCCCCTCCACCTGCCTCTGTGGCACAGATCTTCCTGTGGCTCGGGGAAGCAGCGACCAGGCAGAAGGAGCAGGCGGTGGCCTGGGGCCAGGAGTACCTGAAGACCCACCCGGCGGGGCGGAGCCAGGCCACACCCATCGTGCTGGTCAAGCAGGGCCATGAGCCCCCCACTTTCACTGGATGGTTCCTCACCTGGGACCCCTACAAGTGGACCGAGAGTGAGGTCTGAACCCCCAGCCCCACCCTTATCCAGGGGAAGAGGGGCTTGCCCTGTGCGGACTGAGAGGAGGCCTTGCCCTGCCTGTGGGTTGGGAAGACCGGGTCTTGCCCTTGGGGTCCCCTTGGTGCCCTTCCCTCTCACCCCCACTCTGATTCTCGCCCCCAGAACAACCAGTCCTACAGGGAGTTGGTGGAGGGCAGCCTGGAAGTAGTGTCTGCTGTCGCTGAGATCACAGTAGTGAGTACTGGGGCCCCCCAGGCCTCCCCCCGGGGCTGCGCTCAGTGGGCATGGTCCAGATGGGCAGAAGGGGAGAGGGAGGAGCCAGGCCCTGGAAGGTGGCGGGGGTTGCAGCTGGGGGCACGAGGGCCAGTGGGCTCAGTGTGGCCGCCCCGTGGGAGCCGACCCCTCACCCACCCCAGCCTGAGTCCCCTCTATGGACAGGAGGTCAACAACTTCCGGCTGCCACGATGGCCAAGCAACAGCAGGAGAGGCTCCTTGGCCCCGCAGACCCACAAGGGCCCCCAGGACAAGTCAGAGAAAGAGCTGGAGCTGGAGCTGGGCCCCAAGGCGGGCGGCAGCAGCACCAGCATCAGCACCAGCACCAGCACCAACAGCTACCACAGCAGCCCCGGACCCATGGCCAACGGGTACCTGTCCCGCAAACAGTTGATGTACCAGGCCGCCAAGGACCTGCCAGAGGGCGTGGACCCGGCCCAAAGGGAGGTAGGTGCCCGAGACCCCCGCCACTCGCTGCCCCAGCCCTAACACACCTAAAGCTAAGCTGGAGGCGCCTCGGGTGACACCCTGGTGGTAGGCAGTGGGCAGGTTGTCCGGGGAGTTGCGTGCTCCAGAGGCGGTGATGGGCAGAGGGAGATGGGAGAGGGGAGCCCTGAGCCCTGGGATGACACCTCTGGGCGGGACAGAATTCTGGGCTCAGGGGCACCCTTCCCTGGGTCTCCCTCCCCCACAGTTCTATCTCTCGGACTCTGAGTTCAAAGACGTCTTTGGGAAGTCCAAGGAGGAGTTCTACAGCATGGCCAAGTGGAGGCAGCAGCAGGAGAAAAAGCAGCTCGGCTTCTTCTGACCCCGGGCCCTGCCGCCAGGGCACGCACACGCCTGAGCCCCGCTGGGACTCCCCGGAGCGTACCTGAGCCCCCTCCCCATCAATAAAAGCTTGCGGCCCTCACAGGTGTGGTGCGTGGGCTTTCACGTCTGGGTCACTCAGCAGGTCCGCCTCTGGGGAAGGGCCTGTGGGGCTGGAGGGGTGTCTCTCTGCCCCCTCCTCCTCTTTCTTGTTGGTCCCGCCTGCCCAGCGGCACAGACAGCGCCCTCAGTACAGTGTGAGTGTGGGAAGGAGGCGAGTGAGGTGCTGGGGTTCCAGGGCTCTCTCTCTCATACACACACACACACACACACACACACACACACGTGCATGCACTTACAGGAATTTGCTGGCGTGCAGGTAAAGAGGCCACGGAACTTAGTCTTAAGATTTTTATAAAAACCCTCAACCGAGGGCCGGCCAGAGGGTGGAGAGGGCCGCAGTGTTGTTCTTAACGGAGGTGAGGACAAATCAGGGCCCAGGCCAGCTCCTAGGACCCGGGAGAGGCAGCAGCACAGACAGTGTGTCAGAGCCAGGGCAGGGCGGGCCTCCCGCTCAGAGCGCGAGGCTGGGAGCAGCGCGCCCGCCCTGCCCTGGGCCGCTCCCACGCCTAGTCCCGCAGGGACACCTTCACAAAGAGGGTGGCAGATGGGTGCTGGTCTCCGTTCTTGGACAAGAGGTGCACGTGGCGGTATCCTGGCAGGTGAGGGGGCGGGAAGGAGCACACAAGGAAAGTTCCAGTCACTCGGGCGGGATGCTTCAAGGGACAGCCACCCCCGCCCAAGAGATGCCAGGCCCTGCCCCCGCCCCCTTGCCCTCCCCTCCCCTGGACAAACACTCACCCTGCTTGAGGCTGTTCAGGGGGATGGTGCTCTGGCCAATGAAGTCGTTCTTGGAGGAGGCGTCATAGTCCTCCACCACGAAGCGCACCAGGGCCAGCTCGGGCACCCCCACCTCAAACTCGAACTCCGTGTCCCACCACGGGTTGAAACCTGCGAGCACGGGCACTGTGTCAGCAGCTCGGACACCAGCCGCGGCGGCCGGGCCCAGCCCCGCCTCGGCACGTACCGTTGTTGGTGACCACCGCGGTCTGGCGGCTGGGCACGTCCCGGCCCACGCCGTGGACCTCCACCGTCACCTTGGGGTCCACGATCGAATTCTTGCTCTTGTTGACTTTCGGCAGCTGCTGCCCCGTGATGACCTGCGGAAGGGTGATGGGCATGAGGAATGGTACCGAGGGGGAAGGGGGGGAGGGGGTGGGCTCCTGGCCCTTCTCTGGCCGGCCATACCCGGATGCTGAGCCGCTTCCGAGTCCACCAGGGCCCCTGAGCCGGGTTACGCGGATTGAAGGTGGAGTTGGGGTCTCGCAGGAAGGCAGGCTTCAGCACGTACCCACAGGCCCCGTTGTCCTGGAAGCGGCCCTGATACACATCCATCTCTGGGCCAGGCGTCTGGAAGTTCAAGGCCACTACAGGTAGGACAGAGCAGTCACGGGCTGTGGGTTGGCTTCAGGGGCCCTAGAGCCCAGCCTCCTCGGGGTACACGGAGGCCTCGGAGACACAGGGTGAGGCAGAAGCAGGGGCCTGTATCGCTGCAAGGCCTCCTGCCCTCCAACCGACACTCTGCACCAACCCCACATTGCATTTCTGGTGCTAAAACTCTAAGGACTACGATGCTAACGAGGGGGGCAGCTCCCAACTGAGGTCACCAGCTCCTGAGCCCACACACTCCTGCATCTGGCCCTGCCCCGGTCTTCACGGTCTCCTGGTCCCTGGCCCTCAGCCAGGCGTCCTCCCGGCCCCAGCCAGTGCATACCGATCTGGCAGCCCCCATTCCACATCTCCACGGGGCTGTAGTTGGAGGAGTCGGTTCTCCACCCAGCAGGGTAGATCCTGCTCAGGTGAGTCACGTTGTGGCGGACAAGGTTGTTTCCTGAGGGGGGTACGGGATGGTCAGGCAGGGAGGCCTCAGGTGTGCCTGAGTCCCTCCCACCAGCTCTGCTGGAAGCAGCAGGGAATGCTAACTTTGTTCACAGGCAGGGGTGGGGGTGGGGGTAGGGGGAGCCAGGTCGGCCCTGGCCCCAGCCCGGATGGTCGGACAGGGGCAGCACCCTCAGGGTGCAGGGCGGGGCTCACCTGACTCTTGGAGCAGCCGGAGGGTGCGGTTCTCAGAGAAGGACGCCATCTCATAGAACGCCTGCCCCGGGCTGCCAGGGCCGGAGAAGCCCCGGAAGTGGACACTCTTACAGTAAATGACCATGTCAGACAGCTCCTTCACTAGCCTGAGCTTGTCCTCCTGGGGGCCACGGGGAGGCCCGCGTTAGAGTCAGAGGTGGGGGCAGGTGGACACTGAGAGAGCCAGGAACCCAGACACAGAGAGACAGAGAGAGGGAGACAGACACAGAGAGGGGGCAGAGGGTCTGAGTGGCAGCCACAGAGAATTGAGACAGGGCAACCATCCCACCCGGCGATGGGGGGTGAGGATGGGGGAGGGCCCAGGGCTGCCCTCCCCCCACAGCTTCCCCTCGAACCTTGGGCTTGTGCTGCACTCGGCTCCTCACGGCCTCATCCTCCATCTCGGCTGCCTCGTCCTCATCTGACACGACAATGGCCTCAGGGCCACCTTCCCCGCTGGGGGGCTGGAGTCCCCCTAGCTTCTTTCCCTTCAGCACGATCTTCCCCTTCAGTTGCTACGGATGGAGGGGCAGCTGGTCAAGACCCAGCTGGCCTCCCAGCCAGTCCCCCTGCCCTCTTCTCTGGGCACCCCCGTGCCCACTGTGCACCTCAGGGGATGGGAGGCTGGTGGTGGCCCCTTCCAGCGGCCGGTCCAATAGCATGGAGCCCAGAATCGTGCTCAGGTGTCGCGCCATCACGCGCTGCTGCTCCAGGCTGCAGTGGTTCTCCAGGGACAGGATGACGGGGTAGGGGGACGCCTGGCGGTCCAAGGCAGATTAGGAGGGGTTGGCCACCCCTAGCCTTCCCCTCCTCACCCCCACCCCCCAGGGTGTGGCCACCTTGAAGGCGTAGTCCCGAATGGCCCTGAGCACGTCGCAGAAGAGGATCTTGGAGGTGAAGGTGTAGCCGTGGTAGATGATGGGCTCCTGGTTGGGTCCGTCCCAGCAGTCCAGCTCCAGGCAGCGGCAGCCTTTGCACAGCGCCCTGTAGGGGG